ATGCTAAACATTTCTCACTGTGAGACTGCACAGCGGCTTTGTAACAAGAAATCATGAATTGGGGATTCAAGGCAGTCCCAAAGTGTAGATCCAGACCAATGTTTTACAGAGTTAAAAGCGATGTGTAAGAGCAAATCAAACAAAACGGTTTGAATCAAAAATAGTAGAATATCGTGCATGGGTAAAGTTGCTTCTAGTTTTGGCGGCATCTTAATAGAGTTCATGCGGTTTTATTAGCAAGTAGAGAAGCTGCCCAAAAGCACCAGAGAAATTGAAGTTCTTTTCGAGCATCGCAGAATTTTCTTTAGGGTGTATCCAGCAATGTTTGCTGTTTGCGAGCCTCATCGACTCACACAAACATTGGACTGCATGTTTGAGTTGATGTATATCATTGCATGTGATGAGAAAGTTGATATTGAGCGCATGAAAATGGAGAAGGATTGGCTAGAGGAAATGGAAAAGGTTGGTGTTATTTCACTACTGCGTCATTATCAACAGCTTCAAAGGAACACGTTTCGTAATTTAACAAAATCTTCAGCAAAGGCCAGCATACTCCCCTCTACTAGAATATTCCATACAAAAATTGTCACTGAAACATAAATGGAAAATTAGGGACAATTTAACAACATTTCGATATCATCTCTTCTATTTCTTCGAAATTTTGATTGCTGGCATCGATATCAATGATGTGAACAAGGCAAATATATCTGTTCATGTAAGTTACACGGAAGCAGAAAATGTTGCTTGGATGATAGCTAATGTGAGAATTTAGAACCTCACTCTCCTCTTTTACATAATGCCTCTACTCGATTATTCGGATTGTGTAAAGTACCATAAAGATTTAACTCCTGACGAGAAATCATTGTGCATTTTGTCAGCTAGATTACCAGTACTGGCAGAAGTTACTCTCGATAAGTACGTTTGTTTCATAACTAGCGAGTTTTTTTCGTCATTGTAAGAATTTAAGAATCTTACAAATCATTCAATGCCTTGCTATCACCAGTCCTAAGGATTCAACGACGGCACTTGGAAGTTTCAAGGTTTATACGCAAAGCAGGCACTTGACCACTCACTCGGCATCGTCATAATTACTTCCATTTTAGGACGAAGAAACTAGGGAGGGTGACGAAGAGCATGTGCTGAAGAAAGCGATAGATAGGTGTGTTACGGCACTGTTTACAAATACCGCTGATTGCATAACATCAGTAAGTGACATTGTTACATCACATTCTTACATACCTAATTATGTAAGGGCCATGTTAAGAAGCTATCGCAAAAGGTCCTAACCTTTGTAAAGACCATCCAATTTGAGAGCCAGATTGCTACAGATATGATATCATCGCTAATTTCCCAAATGACATACGTAAGCTGCATCACGTTTCCCTTTTCATACCACTCTAAAACAATGTTCAGGCTTCACCAAGGTTTTGGCTACCATTTGCTGATCATGTTCTCCGCAACCTTCGCGAACTCCTGACGCGTATGTATTCAAAAAATAATATAGTAACTCACGCTAGATCGTAAATATCTTGATTCTGGCAACACTGTTATTTGACTGAGCTAGAAAAAAGAGATAATATGCAAAGTCTAACCCCAAGTGAATAGCACCCACTTCTATGGGGTACTACAGCATCGAAACTCACAGTCAAATGTGGCATGTTTAATACAAACGCTGAATTTTTTGCCTCACAAGGAAAGGATCCAAGTCGCACTGGCATCCAGTAAAGAGATTTACAACATTTACAACATCCTTTCTATACTGATCACATATCCACTTTCCATATCTGCGAAGTGCTTCTGTAAACGAAATTCTAATCAGGTTTTGCCCAGACGCAGCAGAATCGATTACGA